TTCGCGTCGAAGGTTGGATAAAAAATAGACAGCAACAGCTGAGGTACGCACAGGGAAGGCCGTATATTACGATTTGGTCGGTTAAAATGAATGGCAACAATAGCGAATCAGAAAATAGTCCGGGCAGCGCCAATTTTTAATTTGAAAATGATGCCATGAAATAAGTCACGACGACCATCAGAAATATCATATACTTTTCTTATACTGTTCATACACAAATACAATAATGATAGGACTGTGGTTAAATGTAGTGACCTCTTTTTGTTGTACAGCACTATTTATAGGTTTTCAGCACTTGATGTCTGGCAGGAGAGGATAGAGCCTTTATCATGTTGACTGGTTCAGACTGGTTATTTGTAAGGGATAATTAGAGATAATGATGTTTAAGATTTACTTGTAACTTGTAAGAACAATTTTAGAATTAAAAGAAAAAACAACTACAACTAAACGCGCGCAGTGAGTATCAACTGATAGCTAGTAAGATAAGCCACATTAGGTGGAAATTGTTCGTGGGCATCATTGTGGAAGATTAAGCAGAGCAAGAACTGAGAAAGTTCTCAAATGGAACGAGAAACAAACATCAGTTCAATAGACTTTGACGCTGAGTAACAGCTAGTAACTCAAGAAAATGACTAAGAAGTTAAAAAGACTTTTAAAATTTTATAAAACACACTGAATCAATAACAGCATGAATCAAAATCAACATCGTAACAATAGCAAAAAATTGCCGTTTCATTCGCGCGAACCATTGGAGCTCAATAAGCAGCAATAGAATAGCACAAAGTAAACTAACTGCTTCTGTCTCCTATCACGGAAAAGAACGCAAGGTCATGTTGACAGAAACTTTGCCACTGACAGTTTTCTTTGTGGATCTCAGAGTTTGATCAGCCTGGGGAGATAGTAATCGATACTTTCTACTGTACGTATACATCATCGGTGCTAAACATGTTAACAAGTGGCTTGCTTGAATACCTGGCTAGCTTGAAAAGCTTTCTTGAATACCTAACAATCGACAGTCCTAACAATCCACGATATCTACGTAAATGAAAACCAAACACTGCGGGTCTTACGATTGCAAAGTGGAAAAAATAGAAGTCAACTCATTGTGGCAACTGACTACAAACTACTACAAAGTAGTGACTGACGTTCTTCCCTTGTTTTCAGCCGTTCTTGTCGCGTGCGTATGAAACTCTTGTAGCTCTGATGTCAATAATTTACTTTAATTTTCTTCAGTTTCTTCAGTTTATCGTCTATATGTACTAAAAGATTTGAATATTCATATACTTAATCAGTAGCGAAAGTTCATAGAATGGACAGTACCTGTGGGTCTTGCACTGTCTCTTCCTTGGTTTTGAGGTTTTCCGTCACTTTCTAATACATCTAAAGAGAAAAAAGACCGTCAAAACCAAGACTGACCATGTGTGTTTCTTCGGCAGTTCAAGTCTTCTCGCTGAAACTATTATCTTGGCGGTACTATTCTGTGTCCATTACTACCAGTTCTCTAAAGCGTGTGCTGATTACGGTCAGCATGTAATAGACAAATGCCTGCTGGCCAACTTATCGTAAGCATCGTATGCCCTCTCTTCTTCTAAGGAGGGAAGCAGAGGTATTTCGATAATTGAATAAATGGGAGATGGAACTTAGATCAAAGTCACTGTTTTTTGTCGACGGTTCGCAACTTTGCGGTCTTTGCGCTGAGAACACTGTCGGTATCTAAAGTACTAGCAAACACAAAAAGATCTAAAAAGACTGACACGTGTAATAGTTTGATATAATGTTAAATGCCTGTAGAACAAGCAGTTTCTTTGGGTCGGAGACCTCTCTTCCAGGCTGCAGACATTGATTATTGTGTTTATCCTGTTCTGCGAAGGAACTAATTCAACTTTAAAAAGCATTCAGGAATCAGTCACGCACTTCTTGACCGATGAGCTCTGATAAAAAGTAGTCGGAGGTTGCGCCTCTTCCAGTTCCTACGTGTACGTTGAAAAGCATTACTACTTATTTACCTTGCAGTTTCTCATGGTAAAACAAATTCGCGGAGGTGGCAACTTTAATTTCTGTGGCTCAATCCAGAGGAACTGCACTTGTTAAAGCTTTCCATGTTTCAACTTCGTGAAGTGAGAGACCTCGACGGAGTATTGCTGGTAGTAAGGGAGAATAAACTCCCGTGAACGTTTTGCTAAACAACGCAATAATGGATTTCGTACAAAGTAGATACACAGAATAATTGAGATGCATTATAGTCTCCATTAAAAATGTGGAGAGCCTCCGTATCTATGTCACACTCCAACCATTGCCCGTTCATGTAGAGATGAAGATCGAGAACAAAACCTGCAGTCTGGTCTTTTCAAATCCTACAAAGGCCTTATACTGTGTGCTGTTGAAGAAGAACACTGAGCCTTGTCAGATACAAGCACAGTACAGCCCCAGAAAATAGTTTTCACGATCTCAATTGCATCCATGTTTTAAATCAACTATTTTTATCAACTTCCCCGCATGCGTGCTCTTTATTTGACAAGACACCTCAATCAGCCAACCATGGACCCAGTGACTTGACACTTGACATAAGCTTTCTGGCTCTTTGTGTTCTAATTCCTAAGATCATCATCTTTTATGCCTTTTTTTTTACGGCAAATGAAGGAGGAATCCATGTCAAAATTATCCATTCACTGATGGCTCTTTGCTCGGTACGAAGGCCATATCGAATACAGTAACTCTTTGTTCAAAAAGCGCATCGCATGTTGCAGAACAATGTTGTCATTAACCGACGTTGCCTTTAGCCTTAAGGCACGATTCGATATGGAGATGATTCTGTGAAGGCACTGCTTCGAAAACTGCATTCTAGCATTATAAGCGTGGATCAGAGCGTTTTATGAAGCACATTTCGGGTGCTGCCATAATCGCGAGATTTTTTCTTGAGGTGATAAAATTTTTTGAATACCTTGTATATAGATGTGGTGTTGCACGCGTAACATGAGGTAACATGAGATGCATCCGATATCTGATCTTTAGACATTTGAACTATTTCATCCAGTCCAAATTTCTGCTGTGATTAATACAGCTTAAGAAAGACTTAAATCCGACTACTGGCCATGGATGGGTGGATAAACTGAAGTTGACCCAAGATTTATACTACCCATGCATAAACAAACAGCTGAACCAAAGTAAAATCATGATTTTTTTCTTTTTGAAAGTACACATTACTCCCAGAAGCTATAAAAAATGTTTCGATTTGAACCCAACGTGATTTTTTTAGAAGTTTCTCGAAACGTTCAAGTTTGGCGCCATTTTGGCACACCATTCGTCTTAGTCCTCTCTCGGAAGCTTCACGAAAACTGCAAAGAACTGTGACGTTTAAGGCCCGTGTGAGGAGTTCTAGAAACATTTCTTCAATTTACAAACTGAAGCAGCTCTTTAAAGGTAAAACACGCCCGTAAGATGTGTTTCATAAGGACGCAACAACACTGGCGTCGTCCCAAAGAAAGGGATATAAGGAAAGCATGCAAGCATGAAATCCCCTTTTTGGAGGCCTTGAAAAATTCTAAAAAGCCTCATTTTGTTCAAAGGGAAAATTTTTTCAAAGAAGTTCTTTTGGTAATGTGTTCTTTCATTTAACGTGATAACAATTTTTACCTTATTGGCACATAAACCTCCCGGCAGCACACATGTCCAATACTCACCACTTGTTCACGACGAACCCCTTAGAACGTCTGCGTGGGCGGCTAGATAATGATTTGTAAAGAGAGAGGTTTCTTGCGTAAAACCAAAAACAAAGAAAAAACCAGTTATCGTAAAATTCCGAAAATAAGCCCTGGGGCTTATATTTTTCAAAGGCCCTTTTTGAGGGGTTTATTTTTGGAGGGGCTTATCTACGGAGGGAAATTTGCGTTTCAAAATCGATTGGGCTAACCTTATAGTTGGAAGTAAATTTACCGTTTTTCCCTTGTTTTACTTTGTATTGGAGGGCAATTTTTCAAGTACAAGCCCTCGGGGCCGCGGGGGGCCTACATTTGGAGGGGCGATTTAACGGAGGGGTTTTTGCGTTACCGGTTTGAAGGGCTTATACATGGAGAGGCTTATTTTCGAAATTTTACGGTATGACTTCATGGCGACCTCTTTTCGCTCGCCTCATGCAAGGGAATACGTATTCCAGAATCCGGGAAATTTTTGCTCTTGGAATCCGGAAATCGGGAAAATTTTTTTGGTGAAATCTGGAATCCTGGGCTTTGGAATACGGAATACAGTTCAAGAAATCCGGAATCTTGCTAGTGGAGTCCAGCACCTGGAATCCGTACTGCATACAATGGAAGCGTTCCTAACGGGCAGCTCTACTTAACAAAACCCCGTCTTTCTTAACCCCCATACAATAAGTGGCCAGCTCAGGTTACGGACACCTTTTTCGCGTCCCGGGGGTATATGCTTTATATGAGAGCTTCCACTGCACATATTTTTAGCCAGCGTAACAAACGCTAAAAAGGGTAGGGGCGGGGATGTACCCTTCTCTAGTTTCCCCTCCTCATTCAATGCCCCCGAAGCAGGCTATATATTTGCTCCCAGCTCTTCTGTGGTTGGCCTGGACTGAGAGCTTCGTTTATCAGATATAAACAAATGTCATGTGAGAAGTGCTGTTACAGGAAACTGATAGAGAATAAGCGATAAGTTAATGTCCCAGAAGTGGGAAAATAAAACACCATAAGGCAGACGATTATCATGTATCGATTATCATCTACTATTACTGTGTTTCAATAATGAATAAAAACTTAAATAAAATAAATTTCTCTCCATTTGGAATTTATATTCCCCATTCCCGTAAAAGTGGATTTTCAGATCTTAATAGTACCAAAAAATTATAAATGCTCCATATGATTTGATCATAATCAAAAATAAAACTTGCGAAGAGTTGTCTATTAGGTTTGCCAAAATTGTTGAGCTTTCTGTATAATCTTAAAAAATGTTCTGTTAAATGAAAGAAACTGAAGTGGCGGTGATACCAAATGTTTTCAAAGCGGTGATGTGCCGTTATGGAAGGTTTGTCCGGTGTTGTTGTCCAATAAGTTTGTAAGTTCAGTCAAATCCAGAACCAAATTGTCCGCTTTTGCAGCCGCCCGTAGCTTGGCTGATCGTGAGCGAGGATTAAGGTAAACCTCTTCATCCGAGGGGTAAATGACTTTTTTATGGAGGGGTAGCCACGTACTCGTCTTGGCTTTACCCGTGACATTCGTTCTCGAACGCAAATAACTCACTTCGGAGTTTGTTTCTTTGAAAAAATGCCTGACAATCGAGTCCTCTAGCGTATGAAAGGAAATCACGACAAGGCGCCCTCCAGGGCAAAGAAGTTTATGTGCTGTTTTCAAAGCGCACTGGAGTTCATTCAACTCGTCGTTTACAAGTATGCGTAGAGCTTGGAAGGTTCTTGCAGCAGGGTGCAGTTGACGCGAGAACCTGTCAGTTCTGACGTTACGAACTGCTGCAGTAACAATGGCTGCCAACTGTCTGGTGGATACTATTGGAATCCTGTCACGAGCTCGCACAATAGCACGAGATATACGGACTAAAAAGAAAAAAAAGAGGTTAGTCATACATTCAAGTCTTATTCAGATAAAATGAACACGTGCGTGAACCAGATGAGCTATTGGCCTAACCAATTAATCATTAGGGAGAAATCTTCTTAAAACCATACCCGAATGAACACGATCCAGTCAATCTGGATGGAGAAAAACGCAAAAAGCCATGTACAGTTGACCGGAAATTTCCAGTGAAAACCTTGTTCCACTACACACTTCAAATCCATCTGATCCTATGATAACAAAAGTTTTCCCCAAAACTTTTTCTCTTTGCTTTAAAAGGCATTTTTAGGCAAAATTTCCAGGGGTGAACGGTTTAAACCCCAAAATTTGCCAGGTAACAAGGAACTCAGGCAGTCAGCCAGAGTGTAGGATTGGAAAGACTGCAAGACAGCAAGTCAGTCAGTCAGGCCTAGCATATGTTAAACAGAAGGAGAGTCAGTCAGTCAGTCAGTTGGTCCAACAGTGTATAAAGCAAATAGTCTGCAAGTCAGCCAATTGGTCAGTCAGATAGAGTGTAGGCTGCACAGGAGGGCAGCCAGTTTTTTGTTTAGACATTGTGTAGAATAGGACTGCATGCCAGCCAGCTGACCAGTTAATAGTGAGTATGTTACACAGAAAGCCAGACAGTCAGTCTGCCAGTCAGTCAGTCACCCAGACAGTTTGTCACTTGGTCAGTCAGTCAGACAGACAGCTAGTTAGTAGGTCAGTCAGTCAGACAGCTAGAGAGTCAGTAACTCAGTCAGACAGTGTGTGTGTTACACAGAGGGCCAGTCAGGTGGTCAGACTGTGCACAGGGTAGACTGCAAGCCAGGCAGCCAGCCAGTTAATAGGCCTTCAAAGCTCCCAATCAATGAGTTCATGTAGACCTGCCAACCAATCTGACCAGTTAGCCAGTCTATCGACCCATTGGTCAGCCAACTTGCCATTTATCCATTCATTTACTCTTTACCCTCAGTTTCCAATCAGACCGTCAGTCAGTCAGTTAGTGAATGTGTGAAATAAGTAAGAGCAAGGAAATATGTAGTTGAAAGCTAGCATTAGCAAGGACCATGGACCCACTACAGAGTTGTAATGTCCAGCAAATACTAACCCGCTTCCTTTTCTTGTCCGTACTGTCTCAAAACAGCAGTAAGTTCTGTTTCATTAATAGAATTCACCACATCAGCTGCTGTCAGTGGTAATCTTTCACCTTTTGCCCCTTCTTTAGTGACATTCCTAACATCCATTCTCATGTCTAAAGGTCCATTTTTATAAAATGAAAATCCTCTGTCAGGGTCGTCAAACTGAATACTGGATGCACCAATGTCAAGCAACATTCCATTCACAGATTCATTCTTGACACCATGGCTCTTTAGTACGTTATAGATATTACTAAATTTTCCTAAGACTGGAAACAGCCTTCCCTTAAATTCTGATCTTTCAGATAAAATGTCTGCTATTTCAATTGCAGCTGGATCTCTGTCTAAAGCAAAGACTTTACATTTTGCACTCATGAGGATTGCTGCAGAATGACCTCCAGACCCAAATGTGGCATCTATAAAAACCTTAAAAGTCAGGAAATAGAAATACATCACAGTAGTCTTACATACACTCACTCTCATAACTGAATTTATTATTAATATTAATATTATCATTATTATTATTATTTTTATAATGGTAACAAAAATCTGTATTAACATATGACCAATTTACATTCCACTATCATAAATAACAAAATAACTGGAAAAATAAATAGATCTACCGAAAATTGTTTAAGCTTTTACTGGTTTTGTAAAGCTAAATCTCATAAGCTTAGAGAACCAAAGGAAAATAAAAATAAAACAAGGGAGAAAATAAGTAAAAAGTAAAACACGCGTGGCAATTTATATATCACACCACAAAAATGTCTCAAATTTGAGAGTTGCAATAATATTAGAATATTGTTTATCTGAGCAACAGTAGCTTTAGGAACTTTAAGAACAGAATTAGGCAAAAGAAAAAATAACGGTTTCATTCTGACGTGACAAATTTCCGCGAGCGAATCGAAACCGATGACAACTTTCATCACTTACTTGGCCATCACGGGGAGCAAGAAAGCTCAAACATTCCTTCAACATCACGGGAACATGGACGGTGTGGGAATCACCTTGAGTGCAGAAGCATCGCAGTTTCTGGTACGGAAATATAAACAGACTTCTCGCGCAATATAAAGACAAGGGACTCGCCGCCATTTTGTTTACGTGTATGAGTCATATATGAAGCCCCATTCGTTTGATGGATGCAGCTGCTGATGATGTACCGCAGTCCCAAGCGCGCTCACTTTCAAAATGGCGACTGCCAGAGCACACCACGTTGACCCAGTGGAAAGATTGCAAGAAGAACTCAAAGCTTGGAAGCACGATCACCCAAAGGTCGGTAAAACCAGCTTTTAGATTATTTAAACTACTCTGTGAAGTTGATCAGTGAAAGTTTTGTAAATTCTGCATTATCTGCAAGGCAACTCCTGCATGTCATTCTTGAGTTGTCACTTTCCAAAATAAGTTATAGAGTCTGTTATTACCTTCTCTTTTTTAGGATTTTATGGCAGACCCTGTCAAGAAGGACAATGGAGAAATCGACTGGCTAACGTGGCAGTGTGGTGATTATGAAGATCAATAATTATTTGTTAAATTATTTCTTGCACCTATAAGAGCTAGCTATGGGACATTCCATCTTTTAAGCAACCCTCCCCCTTCCCCCATAGATGGCGGTTTTGACAGGAGGGGTTCGGATTCCTCCGAAATTGGACTCTTTGGACATGTTTTCAAAAAGACCGGAAAAAGAGTAACTGCGAAGGTACTTCATTGTTAAAAGGGTATGTGCTGACAGAAAATTGAGGCTTTGGATTTCAGCCATATTTAGGGGGGTAGGGGTTGTGGATAAAAAAGTGGAACTGCGAATTCCCTCTGATGGTTTCTTGCCTCCCCCACACACGTCTTTGGGGGTTCATCAGGCAGGAACGCGTGACAAACCCCTAAGAACGTCTGCGGGGGAGGGTAGATGGTTTCATAATTTGCAGGGTTTGTTGTTTAAAAGCTTATATTTTTTAAATTGCTAAATTTCTAATTTTTCATAATATCTGATTTACCAAACAGCTATTCCAGGACCCAAGAAGGTATAGTAAAAATGTGTATTGTGTCTAATAATTTTCTGCAGGTTTTTGTCCCCACTTCCTGCACCCCCATGTTAAGCCAAAGCCCTAGGGATTTTCTCCTCTGATGAAGGAGAAAGAAAGTGCTCCCAGATGCTGCAATCAACTGTATGTCTTGATTTTTACATTTGGTCTTTTTTGCTGTTTTCCTTGTATTTCCTTTATTTATTAAACCTTTTTTTTCTATTTCCATTTTGCTCTTCAGACCCTCTGGGAAGGTGGTTTTTACAAGTTGCAGCTTACATTCCCTCAAGACTATCCTTTTTCACCACCTAAATGTGAGTTATGTTCAGAAATAAGAAATAATAGAAGACATTGACCAAGGCCATGCCCAGTTGCAGTGTTATGTGCTGGCAGCCTGAAGAGTGCCCCCTTACTGCCATCCCCCCATCTCTCTCTCAAAGTTTCCATTGGGAAATACTTGAATGCAAGGCTGTGCTCTAATGAAAATTGAAGGGGGCCCAAAAATACGATGAACCTGTAAAATTTAGGGTGCCCAGCATATGATTTGAATGAAAAAACTAAAGATTTTCTAGTTGCCCGAGGGCAAAAGTTAGGCGCCAGGGGCCACTGGGCTCTGCTAGAACACAGCCCTGTGAATATACTTGCTGGGGATAGATTCCTTGGTTTGTTAGTGCCTTACATGTAACATTTATAGTGGGACAGTATTGCAAAATGTTCATTTGTTTCAGGTGTATTCAATCCTGTGATACTACATCCAAATGTGTTTCCATCTGGTAAAGTATCTTTATCACTGATTGACAAAAACAAAGGATGGAAGCCTCAAATCACAACCAAGGAGGTACCAGTGGTTTCTTACACAACAAATTTTTACATTGTACAGTGTTAGATTCATAGTACAGTGAAGATTTCTTAAGCATTTCTTCATGCGCCGGTCATGAACACACCAACTGGCCATAATATTGTGATCATACTATTTTGATCTAAACCCTGGAAAAATAAAACCTAAAAGATACCAAGGTTATTAATAACATCATGGAAGGTATTTCTACTGGGAAATGGATTTGACATTTACTCAAAGAGAATAACAATATTGTAGTATTCACACTTTAGGCCGAGAGGTACATTTTGTTGTATTGAATACTCCTACATCACTAAAAGTTCTTCTCAATTTCCAGGTACTCCTCGGGATTCAGCTGCTTTTAGGTGAACCCAATTTTCAGGATCCAGCTCAAGCAGAAGCCTATGTAGTTTATAGGTTAGTTCAACTTTTTTCCTTGGTTACACTAGTCAGTCTTCTTCCCAGAAATTACTACTTTTGAAGCAGTGTTAGGCCAATGTTGCATCCATTAAGATTTGTCCTACTATTAGTGTTTTAGTTTTCTCAAAGATACAGAGAAGTAGATTGAGTCAAACAGGATATCAACTATTCCAAGTGTGGAGGGCAAAAGAAAAATAATGTTTTTCTCATTAGGGTATCTTGCCTTGCAAGGCAATAATTATTTTAATCTTCTGTTCTTTTCTTTTAATAAATAATTTGTTTGAAAGAATGTTTGGAAAAAAAGGTACAAATTGACACCAGGTTTAATATGAAAATTTCCCCTTGAAACAAGGCAAAATAGATTGTAAGGAGAATCTAACATTTTTTTAGAACACACTAGAGGTTTTATGGTGTATTTCAGGCACCCGTTCTTTTTATTGTACATTGTATAGATCTTTTGGAATTTAGAGAATACTGATAGTCCATTCATTCCATCTGATACTATCTGAGTCTGTGTTTTGTTCCATAACAAATTGGTCATTGTGTGGATCGGTTTTTACCAAGGGGATCATAATATTTACAATCAAATTATTATCGTTGCAGCCAAAATCGAATGGAATATGAAGAAAGAGTGAAAAAACAAGCAAAAGAAATGGCTCCAAATGGACTTGGATAGAACCAGCTGAATTGTAGATATACATGTAATTTACGAAAAAAAAATATTGTGGATGAATGTCAAATTTGTAAAGTGGAAGCAAAGTTACTGTATTATATGTTATGTTGATAAAGCCAAGTATAGACAGTGCTGCGGAGATAAGAAACATTGAACAGAAACATGCTACAAAATGCACACTTCATAAAATCTAGTTTATTATTTCTATTTTAGTTTTTTCTTCATCCAAGATAAGGGCTTCCTCTTTCTCAGTTATTGCATTTCTCTTGTATTTATTTTTCTTTTGATTAATACTAATGATTACATCAGTAAATTTATCACNAATCTAGTTTATTATTTCTATTTTAGTTTTTTCTTCATCCAAGATAAGGGCTTCCTCTTTCTCAGTTATTGCATTTCTCTTGTATTTATTTTTCTTTTGATTAATACTAATGATTACATCAGTAAATTTATCACTCACTCCAGTTTTACGTGACCATGCATATTTACAAAGGGGAATACAACATGAGATGGTTGTTTCAGAATTGATATTACAATGTATCAAGGCTTAGTGGTTTTAGAAGAACAGAAAATTGTGGAATTAACAGTCTAAGGAAGGGGAGATGGAATTTTGGCGTTATATCAAACGAATACATGTAGTTTTAGTGAAAACGAATACATGTAGTTTTAAGTGATATACAAGACTAGTTTACAGACTCATGTAAATATGTAGTCATAATAAGACCTAAGTTACCCTCCTGAACCAACCCTCTGCTTACCAAACAAACTGCATTTTTGCGCAGCGATTTACTTGGTAAACGCTTCACTTACTTTTTTAGAACTATCAGAAAGTGATCATCAAAATGTTAAAATTAAAATGTTCATTAACAATAATTTGTCAATAATAATATTATTTATCGTTATTGCTCAAATAAAAAGTTAACTTTGATTCAGATGTTGCTTATTAGATCTAGTCATAACCTTGCCTTGTCCATACACGCCATAGCCAGGGGAAATGCCTGGCCCCCAGCCATCAATGACAGCCCTGTATAATTTCACTGAATAGCATTGACTTTAAAGGCCTTGGAAGATACAATACAGGGAAAAGACAACTTTCTACCCATCCTACCACAAAGACAGGCCACAAAAGTCTCTACCACCTGGGACATGAACTCTTCCATCTTAGGAGACTGGGGGGTAGGGGCGGGGGAAGAGGCAAGTAATCAGGATAGAATATTTGACAGGTAAAATCATAAAAGACAAAAAATACAAGAATGGGAGTGCCCCTTGGAACTATAACCTAGCATTAGTGAAAATATTGAGGGAAATAAACTGAACTTGAACTTGAACTTAACATTTTACATTGGCCACTGTAAGGAGTATCAGGGAAGTTTCATTGTATTAAAAATGTAAACTTTTAAAAAGGCCCAGCGTTTATCAGAGAGTGGCAACACTGAGACATTATTGAACTGGGTGTATGAGAGTAGCAGTAGTATTTTCAACATAATTGGCACAGGAGCCTGTTGGTAATAATTTTTTTTCTTAAAAATTTTCATCTACCTTTTAAAGAATGATTTGGAAGTGACAGAATAAAAACTCAGGTTTTGAATGGTAGAATGCCCACTGTTCGCTACCTACAGCTATACTACTCACAGAATAAATAATTGAGTTCTACTCTATAGGGAATTCAATAAGCAATTTATGCAATTCTTTACACTAAAAAAGCTTCATGTTATAACTGATGACTGGTCATGAAGGGTAACACCTGCTGGTGGAACAAGGGTAACGTTAGGATCTGAAAAACCAACAACAGGTGATGTGGGTTCTTTGCTCTCATCCGTCATCTGAGGTTGGCCATTAGGTTGGTTAACTGGTGTTTCCATAGACATCTGAGGCTGAAAATCAATGAGCAACAATTAGAGAAGTCGAATACTGCATTGCTGTTCACCTGAGGAAGGGTAGAAAGGGGTGAGACTGACCCACACCCCCTCCACTGGGGGGTACTTTATAAATTTTAGGGTGGGGATGTGCCAACTATGTTAATCAGCATTTTTCAATCCTACTCTACACTAAGCATGAGAAAGAGTAAGAATTGAATTTGTCAAACCACTCATCTTGATCCAAAGAGCTAAAGGGAAACAACTTTTCATGGGGACTGTTGGAGAAGGAAGCTGAAGAAAGGCTACAGTGGCATATTCTGCTCAATGCACAATGAGGATTAAGCCATACCCTTCACTGCAGCACAGATCTACATAGCCCATAATCATTATATAATAGCCCCAATACCCCCTTAATCCCTCTTCCTTTCCATTCAAACCATGGTAAAAGAGTGCATAATGCGCTACACAATAAATTAAGTGTCTCTTTTTTCTGCACAAAACAGTTAGTATTAGTAGCTTGTTGGTAAGAAATGGATGGGTAGTCCGACCAATGTCAATTTCATAAAACTTTTACATGTGTAATTTACAAGGCTGTATAACTATTATTTTAGGGTCTGAAAAGTTTTATTAAAGGGACCCCAAGACCACTTCACTAATACAGCCTAAAAATATTACTGCCGAAAGCAAATATTATTATTATTCGTTACTACATACATGTATTTGTAACTTATACACCCAATGCAAAAATGGCTGCTGGATTAATATTCTTTTGTTTAAATTAAAATTAGCCTAACTAGCCTCGCTTGAGATAATGTGTTCTTTTGAATTTTGTACAGGAGAACGAGGCTAGTTAGACTAATTTAAATTCACACAAAAGAATGTTAATCTAGCAGCCATTTTTGCATTGGGTCTATTAAGCTCACCTTTTCTTCCTTCTTGTTGAATTTCACCTGACAAGTTATCAGGTCAAACAAGAAACCAATGAATGAGTGCATCATTCCTACAACAAATAATAATAATACTTGCAAATCAACACAAACAACAACAACTTTTTATAAGGATGAACTATGCAAGCAGTTTCCATAGTGACTCTATTTATTTATTTACTTAGGTTTACCAGTTCTTAACAGGGTAAACGCAACAGTGCATGGCACCACTACGCAAGCCCTTAACAGTACCTCCCCACATGAGAGATGGACCACCACACTGGGGACTACGTCCCCTACTCTTTATGAACAATGCAAAGGTTCTTTAACGTCCCACAGGATTTACATGTGCAAGGGTTGTGAGAAGGGACCTATGGTTTTTCGTCCTTATCCGAGAAGACTAGAAAGTCTAACTGTTTGCAGATGTATTTACAAAGGCAGCATTTTCTTCCCAGTTACTTAAAGACCCTGAGTGTTGCATTGGTCTGGCTGAGGTTTGAACCAACCACCTCCCACTCAGCAGGCCGGTGCTTATCCAACATTGTTTAACGAACAAAAAAAATCAATGTTACATCACAAGGTACAAAAGGGTTTTATTTCAGATACTACATGTACCCCTTCAATTACTATTAATACCTGAAGTAGCAAAGATTCCTCCAACTATGCCACACAGACGAACCAGGAAACCCCAGAATGATCGTCGACGATTTTCAACCCGTACCATGATAGATGACAGGTCATACTTGAAGAAAATTCCTAAAAATCAAAAAACAAAATGAAAGAAAAATAATGAAGTTTTTGAAATGGATTCTTTTCAGAAGTGAGTACAAGCAACTACATGTATCGGTAGGTGTTCCACTAGGATTTAAAAGGATGGTATTTATAGCAGGGGTGCAGATATTACAAAGCATTACTGTGCTTTCAAAAACACGAACTCTGATGTTTAAAAGCTGCCTTCACAATTGCCTTTTTCACTGCCATCAATCATAATTACGATCACAAGCAACGAACTTTGAAACACAGAAACACACAAAACGGATCCAAATCCATCAATCACAAATCACAGAGAAATTTACCTTTTAAACCTGTTGAAGTGAACTACTCTTTGCTAAGAGGTCCACTAAGATGATTGACGACAGTAAAAAATGCAAATGTCAGTTAGATTTTGAACTTCAGAATTCGCATGTTTTTGAAAAGCCCAGTAAGACATAGTTCTTTGTTGCCTGAAAATACACAATGGCCACAAAGAGTAAATTCCATTTGACTGTATTCTAGAATACAGCCAATGAACCAAAACTCACTACATATCTGTACCTCGCTGTAATATTAAAGCAGGTAACATCTTTAAACTACACTGTAGTTAGCCTTTAAGTGAGTCATAACAACATTAAGTTAAGAAATTTTGAAAAATTAATTTTCCTACCAGAAATGCCATGGCTCCCAGCATTGTGATTTATTTCTCGGATCTGGCAAAGAAAATGACAAAATCTTACAATTAAGAAAATGAATAAATGCAAAGACAAGGTTACATTCAAATAACTTGGTAAAGCTGTCAAATAATCATTCAACTGTAACTCTAGATGCAAGAAGGTTAACCCAGGCTACTAGTCAACACATTTTTGTTTTCCTTGGTTAAAATAATAATTTTCATTATCATTACACTGAATACCAAGGTGATCCTTTCTGACTTACTCTTTGTGTGACTGAATATTGGTTAGTCTTGGTTTCATGGCCACTCAATGATTTGACAGTTGTTGGTACAATCTGAGATTGACAAGACAACAACATGTTATTGCAATGGTCATAATAAAAGACATGCATCATTAAAACTGGCTGGAAGCCTTTGGAATTTTGACAAAAGTAGGCTAACTTAAAAGTTGATCACAAGGGTTTCTGCAATTCAGGTCTTATTCCCTCAAACAAACTACATGGTGACAAGTTACAACAACATCATGTGGTGGTAAAACATTGCAGCGACAAATTGACTTGTACGTAATTGTCTCCAAAACAGAATTTTGTTGCCGTGACAAGTCACACACAACCAAATCAACAAAATTATGTTGCAGGGACAATGATTTTTGCAAAAATTCTTTGATACACACAAAACGACATGTTCCAGGCAAGTGCGCTCCAAATTTCAAGGCTGGCTCAACCCTCTGGCTAAGGATACGTGTATGTAAGCTAGAGAACAGTCGTGAACAAAACAGGGCTTGGTCCT